TCTTGATGAGTGTAACGTCGGGATGAGTTTATATCTTTAAAAATGTCAATATTTCTCAAGATTTAAGGTCGTTTCTTATGCTAAATTGCACTGTACTTTCTTAACTATTGATGTTTTTAAAGATATAAGCTCATCCCGATATTACAATCATCAAGACCTTTCATTTGAGTACCCACATCAATTTTTCATATATTTTATATATTATATATATGTATATATGAAAAATATATGAAAATGCATGTGGGTACTCAAATAAAAGTTCTTGATGAGCGTTACATCGGGATGAGGTTATATCTTTAAAAACGTCAATAATTAAAAAATCACAGTGTAATTTAACAAGTATCTTTTAAACTATTGACATTTTTGAAAATATAAGCTCATCCCGGGTTTACACTCATTGAGACCTTTCATTTGAGTACCCACATCAATTTTTCATATATTTATATATATTATATATATGTATATATGAAAAATATATGAAAATGCATGTGGGTACTCAAATGAAAGCTCTTGATGAGTGTAACATCAGGATGAACTTACATATTTAAAAATATCAATAATTAAGAAATGACCTAGTATCTGGTCAACTACTGATATTCTTAGATATAAGCTCACCCCGACATTACACTCATTGAAACCTTTCATTTGAGTACCCACATCATTTTTTCATATATTTATATATATTTGTATATGAAAAATATATCATAAAATGCATGTGGGTATTCAAATGAAAGCTCTTGATAAGTATAACATCGGGATGAGCTTATATTTTTAAAAACGTCAATATTTTAGAAACTACAGTGTAATTTAACAAAAGTCATTATTTAATAAAGCAAAATTTTATTCATTTATAATTCACAAGTCACGGCAGTCACATAGTAACTGTAAAATTGTTAGTTAATAACTAATTATTTTTTATTTAATGGATAATTTATAATGTTTAGGATTTCAAAAAATTAATAATGAAACTTTCTTATTATTACAATACCAAAAAAAAAAAAATAATGTCTCTCCAAAGATTTCTTGACTCAAAAATTTGTTAAACTGAACAATTTAACACATTGATTTTTTGACAGTAGAATATTAATAATTGTTTAAACTATTACGAGCAAATAAACGAATAGCTTCACTTGACTAAAATAAAAAATTATTGTTTTAATAAATTCGTTGAATTCTTTAGACAGTAAAGAATTCTTCAGACAATAGGGTAGTCTCGGAAAATTGTAAAGAATGTACAAGAATGTCAAGAGCATAAATTCTTAATAGACGTATTTTTTTTTCTCACTATACAAAATTGTAATAAGAATTTTAGTCAGAAAATCAGATTATAAATAATAAATTCTCACGTTTAGCGCATCCTTTCGTTGGTCCAAGTTTAACGGGATACAATTTCTCGCACTCGCACATCCCAGTTGTTGCGTCGCAGACGACATGTTGCAAATCTGGGTTGCACGTGTCTTCACATACTGATCCAAGAAATCTTCCTTTCTCTGGAATTAAAATAAATAATTTATTAAATTTTTCAATTTTTATTTAAAATATCTGCAAGCTTGTTTTAGAAACAATAAACACTCGAGCCAACAAGTATCCTTGATAAATACTAACTGGTAGTTTACATAATATAACCAAGAGACATAGACAATTCTTTCCCGATAGCTAAATAAACATAAACAACAACAATAATCCATCCGAGATATCAAGTACGAATACAGGAAATGAAAACATGGGGGTTTGTGTTCGCGTTTACTCACTATGCAACCTAAATTTAACTTGACATTTAAAATCAATACCACGCAAACCTTAATGCTTTTCTGTGTTAAATACTTTATTTATATTATATTATATTATATTATATGTGCAATATAATTTCTATTTTCATCCACACGCGACTTGACGCATCATTTACTTTTTATTATCCGCTTAGATATTTACTGTGCAATTTAATTAAAACCTTCATTTAATTCAATACATTTTATCAATTTAATCCCTTTAATCTCCTTTTAACTAAATTATTCTACTTTAATTACTTTATTATTATTATTACTATTAAAAATTTTTTTTTAATGTTTTGGAGAATCGAACCCTGAACTTTGCGCGTAACCGTTTAATTTTATAGTTGAATTTTTTGGATATAAATTATTTTTTTTACTGCCAAATTTTGTAATTTTAATTTTTTTTTAATGTTTCTTTTTAACTCATATTTAGAATATTTACTAAAAAAAAAGTGACATCTTTAATATTTAAAACCCAATAAATTAAAAAAGTGAAAGTATAAATTATTATACAACTGCAATAATTTATTTTGCTGCATTAAAGATAAATGAACTATGGTCATTTAATACATGACAGTTGATAAATTAGTTATTTTAAAGGCTATCTTGTAATTGATATTAATATCTTCCGTGTAATTTCAGACTGGATAATTTGTTATTTTAATTATTATCTAACATTTTTCTAGTGAGCGTCGACAACGGGTTTTTAGAAAATTTTGATCACGTTTTTTTTGTTCAATAAATTTTAATTAAATAATTGTTTTTTTTTTTACTGATTAAATTAATTGAATTTCACTTTAAAACGAAGTAAATTGAAGTTAATTTTTCTAAGTCAAACAAACTTTTTTTAGTCAATAGTAATAGTAGTTTTTTTTTGTTTGATCGGATATTACTCAAACGAATAACTCAATTTGATGAAAAGTTTCGATTAATTTCATGCTTCTTTCAAATTTAATTAAATTACTTGAAGATTTATTTGATTTATTTTAATAGAAGATTTTTCGAGTCTTTTTTATTAATTTGTTCAATAAAAAATTTTTTTTTTAATTTCTTGCATATATTTTTCAATTGCAGAAAATGTAAGCTAACATGGCATTTGTTAATTAAAAAGAGTCTAGCTGTAACATTAAAATCACCCTTAAAAAGTAAAATTTATAATAATTTACATCATAAAACAAAATACTCTGTAATTTATTATTAAAATTTTTTTAAAGATATCGTTATTTAAATTATGGAGTTATGAAAAAATTTCTAATCGTAATTTTTACTTTCACTTTTTATACACAGAAAAAATAGTTCACTTGAGCCAAGAAAATATTTTTCTTCTTAATTATTTTCTTGAGAAAAAAAATTTTTTTTTGACAAGAAATTTCACTTATTCCAATAAATATTTATTTTCTTGCTTTAAGAAACACGTATCTTGATCGAAGAAAATTTATTTAAGTCAAGAAAATCTTGTTGTTTTGAGAAAATTCAGCCTCTTGTTCCAAAAAATTAAATATAAAGATAAAAGTAAATTTTCATTAATATTTTTATTGATTAACATGTCAAATGGGAAGATCAAATAATATTTCATCATTTTTTTTCATTCAATATGTATAATTGCACGCTAAAATAATATAAAATGGGTATCAAATATTCAAGAGAAAAATTTTCTCAAGGTGAGAAAATTTTTTTCTCAGCTGAAGTAGGTGGCGCTGCTTCCCTAAAGTATCTAAAAATCTTGATCAAATATAAAAATTTATTGTATCAAGTATTTACGATAAATTGAATTAAGAAAAAATTACTTCCGCCAAGAATAGAATTTCTCAAAAAATTTTTACTTTGCCTAACACAACTTCGGTCTTCCTTCAGGCACCCAAAAATTTTCTTGAGCCAAAAATTTCGTTTTTCAGTCAAGAAATTTTTTTTTCTGTGTAGGAGAGTTCAGATAAATTTTTATTAATAATCAATCTATATTTATTAAGAATTAATAGAATGTGTTTCATAACCAGTTAATTAAAATTTAATGAATTTTATCTAACAAATAATTCATCAATTAATAACAATTAATATTTATAAAATTATTCGGTGTTAAAAAATAATTTATTTACAGTTAATAAAGCTCATTAAAAATAAACAAATCATTCTTTCTGTGTAAACAATCACGTTGATCACAACGAAAATTAACAAATAAATTTTACTACTGACAGTTAATTATGAATTGTAATAATTCCCTCCAATCAGTATGACTATCATTACGACTAATTAAAAAATCGCAAGCAATAAAACACCACACAGTGAAATTTCGACCAATACGGTCATTCGCATCCGTTTACAATTGTTAATACTCACCCGTGAAATACGGAGCGGGTCCTCGTGAAAATTACCCACTGACAAAATAGGAATCGTCACGCGAGGATTAATTTCTCCCGAACTTTTGCCTGAATTATCAGAAACTTTTTGCAGTCGATATACTTATAGCCTTATACGTTCTCTGCATAAAAATTCTCACGACCTACTAAATTCACCCTATCACCCTCTTCACCGCCTACTCAATATCTAACTCTTCAACTCTCAGATTTTTTTGCTCTCTTTACACCTTTATGCTAATAATAATAATCACAACAACTATGATTATTTTTATTATTATACTACCCTTTATTTTTTTTTCGTCTTTTGAGCTTTACATAGTCTTCTTTACGAAAAAAATTTATCAGTTCAATAAAACATTTATTTTTTTTAGAACAATTTTATTTTTTTTTTATGTATTATTGATTTTTTTGTTTTTTTAATGAAAAAGTATTATAACAAAAAAATGAAAAATTTTTTATCGCTAAAATAAGCGATGTTAAAAAATTTTATTGAATTATATCAATTAAATTTTATATAAATAATAATTTCAATATATTTTTGGTAAAAAAGAAAAAAAATTAAATATAATCAATGACTTTTTATCAAAAAAGTTGCTAACCTTTACTAAAAATAAAAATAAAATTAAACACTTTAATAATTTGACACAATTAGAGCAATTTTACTGTAGTCGAATAGTTTTGGCCTACTTTATTATAATTAAATAGTTTAAATATAATTAGTACTTAAGATTAATAATGACAGTATTATTTCTTGAATTAAAGTGATTATTCATCAGAAATACAAAATATATTATGATTATGATTTAATTAAACCTACCCCACTCTCTAATTTATTTAATTTTGTTCATATAAAAATTTTTTTGTGAATCTTTATTCAAATATTTCTTCTGTGCATGTTTTTGTCACTAAACTTCTCCTAAACGGCTGGACCAATTTTAATGAATTTTTTTGTGTGTCTAAGTGGATTCGTAAACAGTTTAGATTCACAAATCAGTCCACGGGAGAATTTTTATTAAATCGGTTTTTTATTTATAAATTGTTGTTGATCTTAGAATGTTCTACATTGGATCTGGCCAACAGCGTTGCAATGGCAAAATATTTTATTTTAATTTTAGTGTGACCCAGTAATAGGCGCTGCGATCAAATTTAAGAAAATTTCGTGCTAATTAAAATATTACATTGTATAATAACCTTTTAATAATAATTTTCATCAAAACGGTTCAAACTGTAAAAGCTTATTAGAATAAACTTAAAATTTATAAATTTAAGATGTTTGTACAGGACAATGTCTGTTTGGTTCGCTATTTTATAAAAATTGTTCATAAATATTTACTAACATCTAAATTTATCGACAATTTTTTTTTATCATAAATATCTCTTAACTAGTGACTAGTAACTGCAAAATTTTTGTACCTGATTTTTTTTTAGTATTGCTGCATTTTTTATAACTTTTAGACCTTAATTTCAAGTATTTTTTCTTAGAAATATTTATATTCAAGTATTTTTTCATCAATTTGGCGGGTAAAATTTTTTTTAATAAGAAAAATTGGAAAAAATTTAAAAATGTTAGTTACTGTGTTTTGAAATTGGACAGCCAAGTACTCATTACTCCTGCACACTTTTTTTAAATTTTTTAATTGTTAAAAATTATGATTTTTATTTATCTACAAAAAAATATGAAAAACATCCAATTTAATCAATAAGTTTTTATTTTAATCATAGTTCAAATTTGTTTTTTTTTTAAATACAACCAAAAAATGCTATTTTTTACCATAAAAAAAAAATAAAAAACACTTTAATAAATCGCCTCTAGGGCATATTTTAGATAAATAATTCTAAAGAACTTCATCTTGATTTGAGTAGAAAAATTCTTAAACTAAGAAATTTTTCTTGGTTCAAAAATTATGCTCTTGATTCAAGATAATTTTTTTTTCTGTGTATAGTCGGATGCACTCGGCCTACTCTAACATAATTTAATAATTTAAACATCTTTATTATTAAAGATCAATTATTTCTTACATCAACATGATTATTGATCTGAAGTACAAAAATATATTGAGTATAGTTTCATTGAACCCTTTTTACTCTGCTACACCCTTATTATTGTTTCTATTTATAATAAAAATGCCTATTTTGATGTTAATATTTTACATAAAACCTTCTTAAATAATTATTAAAGTCTAAATTTATCGATCAATTTCTTTTCAACACAAATACCTTTTAACTAGGCCTTATTACCGGCGAGTACGGTTATTTTTTCTCATTAAAATTCAACAATCAATACATAATTCTTCTATCAATGAAAAAGAATGAATAAAAAGAAACTTTAAATCCTTTTAAATCCTCACAAAATATTTAAAATAATACTATACTCAAAAAAAAATTTTTTTCTCATCTAAAAGTACAGTAAAAAATTATTTTCAAACTAATTTTTTTTAAATTTTATCTTTAACTACAAAACTAATGATATTTTACCATACTAAAATTAGCTAATTTTCAAAAATGTTTAACTATATTTTATTTATTAGATTAAGACTAAAACAATCTATTAAAAATTGCACGTTTAGTTTTTAAAATTTTCTTAATAATTTTTCAATAAAAAAAATTTAAAAAATTTTCGGCTAATTTAATTTTGTTATTTTTATAATAATAATATTAGCCGACATTTTTGATTTTGCTTAATTTATTAAATTAGAACTAAAAAATAGATTTAAAAAATTGCACTTATAGTTTTCCAAGTTTTTTATAAGTGCAATTATTTTTTTTTTCAATTTTTTTAATTATAAAAATTTTTACGTGTCGGCTAATTTAATTTTCATTTCATTTTTACATCAATAAATAATTTCCCATAAAATAAAAAATCTTCCTGATTAAAACTAAAAATCATTAAAATCTACCTGTAGTATTAGTTTGTAGATAATCATCATCTTCGTCGTCATCATATGACATGTCTGTATTTTCATCATAAAAATCATTTCCATCAGAAACGGCACGTTTGCTCGGTTCCTTACCAGAGTATCTATCGCCACCATCATCATTTAGATAATAACGATAATTATTATTATTACCACGAGAACCAGAAGGATCACCACTTACCACAAAATCGTTATTAGAATTAGTTATTATCACATTTTTTGTTCCATTATTAAGGGAGTAGTTTGCCCGCGAATTATTTATTACACCTTCCGTAGCACTGTTACGATTACTACTACCACTACTGGTAGTACTACTCTCACTACTCGTACTCCCGTAATTGTTATTATTTCGAGTGTTTTTGTAAGCACTTTGGTCAGAAAAATCCCCGGGGTTTTTATAGATAAAAGCCGCTGACGAAAAGTATCCGCCAGGACGAATCAGTATGACAAGACAAGTAATCCAGCAACAACAAGAGCAGATAAATTTAAGAGAAGTAAACGGAAGTGCGCTCATCGCCCCCGCGGCGCGAGTCTACCCCTGAAACCAGCCATCAGTTCAAAGTCTACATCTTCTGCCCCCTCCATGTGGTCATTACACCCCCCCTCGCTTCGCGATCTCGAAAACGCCCTATATAACACAAAACGCGCGCACCCCCACTGAATCTAACACACAAGATGTTGAGGAAATTCTGATAAAACAGCCCCATTGCGCGCTTGCTCTGTTCTTGGTTTCGATAGTCTATGCCATGGAAGATAGATATAAACCAGATTATTCCCGTCGTGGTTACACTGCCATCTATTCGAATTTATTTGCACTCTTCGTTGTCGAACCATTATATCAATATCAATTCAACCAATATCAATTCTCTTTAAACCGAGATTTCTCTTTCGGAAGAATGATTTTTTTTTGAATTCCGAGAGCTAAGGGATTCTCCAGGATTTCTGGGGTGAAGTGTCCATTCTAGAGAAGATGGCTTAGAAGTTTCGAGGTGTCGGTATCGATTTTAAGTTAATCGCTGGGAGGGCAAGATTTTATAAGAGCGATGTCTTATTAGATCGTGTGGAACATTATTATATTTTTCTTTTGCAAACTTGCCGAAGGGTCAGAAATACGAAAAAATTTATAAGGACATTTTTTGTGGAGAATTTAATTTTATACACAGAAAAAAAAGTCATCTTGACTCAAGAAAATCTTTTTCTTCAAAATTTACTTCTTGTTTCAAGTTTTTGTTTATTCATGAACTAATAATGTCATATACTTATCCCAAGTAAATCTTTTTCTTGGTTTGAAAAGTAGCGCCAACGTTGGCGACGTGATTTTTTGGAACTAAACCGAGATTTTTTTAATAAAAAATTAAATTTAAAAAAATAACCTTATGCATGATTTTTATTGTTTGTGTTCATTCAATTAGACATTTTTAATTAATTTTTAACTTACTGATTTCCCATTATATTACTGATTTACAGTTAAGTGTGTAGTGACGAAAATATTTGTATAATAAGTATTCGCTCGACTCATACAAAGTACACGGTAAGAAATTTGTTGCGTTAATAACTTAATAACTATAAGTGATATCGACAATCAGAAAAAAAATCCTTAAAGAGGAGGAAATTTCTGAAAAAAAAGTCCCGACTCCCGGAACTCTAGCTCCATAAACAATAATTTTTATTTAATGTTGATTTTTATTTTTTGTGTTCATTTAACTAGATATTTTTGATTAATTTTTAACGTGCTGATTTCCCATTATATTACTGCTTTACAGTTAAGTGTGTAGTGACAAAAATATATGTATATACTAGTATTTGCTCGACTCATACAAAGTACATGGTTAGGAATTTGTTGCGTTAATAACTCAATAACTATAAGTGATATCAACAATCAGAAAAAAGATCTTTAAAGAGGAGGAAATTTCTGAAAAAAAGTCTCGACTCCCGGGACTCTAGCTCCATAAACAATAATTTTTATTTAATGTTGAATATGGGTTTCCGCGCGGCTGCTGTCCTACTCGGGCCTCAATACGCCCGTGTGTACATGAAACAAGTTCAAAAACCAAGAGAATGATTTACTTGGATTAAGAGGTTTTTTTCTTCACTCAAGTTGGTAAGCATGTTGGAACTAGGGAATATTTGCTTAAGCCAAGATTGACCAAAACAAGAAAAAAATTTACTTAACTCAAGAATATATTTTATCTTCAGTTGAATATACTTGGATCAAGTAAATATTACTTGACTCAAGATGACTTTTTTTTCTGTGTATAGAAAAGGTTGATTTTTTTTTTTTGTATCATTAATATTGAACCAACAATTGTGATTCTGAGTTTTTATAGTTAATGCTCTGGTTGATCTTTTGATTTAGGGTGTTATATTAGAACGTTGACCTCAAATTTTGGCTATCATGATTTTTTTGTATCTTTAATTTTAATTCTGAGTTTTTAGTAAATTTCATAGAAATCTAACTATTGCATTGGTCCTCATGTCAGAATTTTCAAAAAATTTTTGTACATTCTTACTCAGCTCGTCGATCTGAGTCAGAAAATGTATATATGGTTCAAAAGTTTATGTAAGGTGAAAGACCCCATTATAATGACACCTTTAACCCCTATTAGTGGCACTTTTTCTTTCAATGAAAAAATGTTCTACTTGAAATAAAAATTAAAAATTTTTTTGATCTAAAGGTCTTAAATATTAGAAATAATATTATATTCATTATTGAAATTAATGATTTTATTAAATTAATGGGTATCAAAATCAAAGATTATATATATGATATAACCGGCTCTTTTCTAACTCCCGTAATTCTGTACGGAGTTCAATAAAACGATACATACTCATTCTTAAGAGGATTTCCGAGGTTAAGTTCGAAGATGAACAAAATCGGTCGATTAGTTTAGAAATGGGAGCAATTTTTAAATTTTCAAAAATTGAAATAATTTTTACTTTTACAGTATTTCCGTGCAATAAAAATTGAACGAGATATCATATTTAATTTTTATAAATTGCATCTGAAAACTTATTTAATAAGCTTCAATTTGCATACTTATCCAATTCTCTAAATTTAATAGTTTAGAAATGACAGCAGTTCAAAAATTTTTAAAAATCACAAAATACTTCACTTCTACCGTATTTCAGTGCAATAAGAATTGAATGTCATATTCTATAAAATTTCTATACATTGCATTTGAAAGTTTATTAAGTAAGCTTTAATTTCCATCCTTATATATTTTTCATTTTACAGAAATTTAAATTCTTCAAAATCCGCAAAAATTGGAACTTTTACTGTTTCTTTGCGAAATAACTATTGAATGCAATAACTTGTGAAATTTTTGTAAATTGCATCTGAAAGGTTATTAAATAAACTTCAATTTGCATATCTCACTATCAGTTTAGGTCAAAACCAAAAATTACTTATTATTTCATGACACTGAAGTTAGCAGACGTCTAAAAATTTTTGATTTTTTTTTTAATTGAATTACAACTAAAAATATATTTATGAAAAATTGCACTTATAGTTTTTTAAGTTTTTAACATATGATATTTTTTTTTAATTGTTTAATTGAAATTTTTTCGATAAAAAATTAATAAAAATTTTGAATTGTCAGCTAACTTCATTTTCATTATTATTTCTGTCTATTTAATGGAATTTTACTCTTGCATTCGTTTTAGGAATAATTATTTTAGTAGTTGTTCGATTCACTGTGAAATCTACTTCCATTTCGGCTGCCGAATGGTCTTTGTATAGTTAATGCTTGTGGTTGACCTTTTTATTTAGAATGTTATATCAGAACGTTGACCTTAAATTTCGGCTACAAAATTGAAGATACGAAAAAATCAAAAATCATAAGCGACCTTTTTTTACAGAAGATTAAATTTTCTACAAAAAGTCTCTTATGATTTTTCCGTATCTTCAATATTTAACTCACAATTTAATATCGTAAATCTAGTAACAAAAAAATTACAATTTTAATTTTCAAAATTGATTATTTATTACATTGAAAAAAAATATTTTTCCAAGAGCTTAAATTTAACATTTTGAGTTAGAGGTTATTATAATTATAATACAATTATCAGTAATGATTAATTATACTGAGGTATACATCTTTGCGAGCCTTTGACACCTCGATCTTTGACGAATCCAGGCTTGCAAATGCAGAAATTGGGTCCAGAGCAAACACCATTGGGACACCCTCCAGGACACGAAGGTACACATTTGGTCCTAGATAAATCCTCAGGGTCTGGTGTGTAACCATTCTTACAGCTGCAAATATTGTAGCCCATGCAGACTCCGTTGACACAAGGACGATCGCAGTCCTGGGGATTCCCTTGTTGATTAGGCCTGTAAATCCCCCCCTGATTCTCAGGATGATAAGTGTTCGGTTGATAATTATCCGGTCGATAACCACGCGGCTGATAATTTAGAGGCACACATTGATTACTCGCGTAATCTAGACGATATCCATTGTAGCAATCACATCTATCTGGTGCAACACAGTGCCCGTTAACGGGACATCCGCTTCGACACTCTGCGATGCATGTCTCTGATGCAGGATCTTTACGGTATCCTGGTTTGCATTCGCAGAATCCTGAAGAAACGCAGCGGCCATTTTCACACGGACCGCAATCTGGAACGCATAATTCGCGTTCTCCGGGTGGATTTTTGAATCTAAAAAAAAAACCAAACCATTTATAAAAAACAATAATAATAAAAAAAATCGATTAAGTACACAAAAATAACAAACTTTTTGCGCCAAAAAAATTTTAAGGAAAACAACAATTATTTTGGAGGAAAAAGAAATTTTCTTGGCTCAAGAAACTTTCAATCTTCCTTAATATTTTCTTGAAGAAAGAAAATTATACTCTAGTCTTTTTAAGATTAATAATGTCGAATAAATACACCCGAAAATCATAATAAAAGGGCACAAAATGGTCACAAGCGTATGTGTTAGTCTAATATTGAATAAAGAAATTTTTAATCTTCCTTGATATTTTCTTGAACCAAAAATATTTACACTCCAGTCAAGAATTTTTTTTTTTTTTTCAGTGTAGCTGAAATAAAAGTATAGATTTCTTAGGGTTTAGAAAAATCTTGCAGCATGATAAAAAAAATGCAGTGTTATAAATCTAGGTACTGACAGATTTACTGATTAACTGACTGACTCTATCAGTAAATGAAATTTATGATGTAACAACACACTGATAAAATGTCTATTGAATCTACTGAAAATATGACAATATATGCATAGAATATTTAAAAATGATGTAAATCAATGTAAAATGTTTTTAAAAAAATGAAATTTAATCTTTAGTATTTGATAAATTTAGAGGAAGAATTTAGAAAATTTTTAAAATGAATGCAATGGCAAATTTCATAAATTAATAGTGAATTCTTGACATACGAATGCATAAATATATGAAAACTATAGCTTATCTAAAGAGTTATTAGAAATTTGATAAGTTGTCGCATTCTAAATTTATTCGGGAAAGAAACTGAAAAAATCTAAGTTTTGTAATCATGTCATTTTTAAACTACCAGACCGATTAAGCTTATCATTAATTTAGACCTTGGCAATAATCTATAGAATAATTATGTTGAGTTTGATAAAGATCCGGTCACAATTTAAGATAACGTCGTTTTGACAAGCCGCGTTTTATCGTTTATATATAAATATATGTACTACTAATACAGGAAAAAATCAAAAATAGCAATGATTACTGTTTTGTATAGTACTTAGTAGTGTTTAAGAAAAATTTTCATAGACAGTAGAGAGTGATGTGTGATATACGACTGATTATTGTCGCATACGACTCAGTAATGAACGGAAATAATGAAAAAAAAGATTCTCTTGAATCAAGAGAAAAATTCTTGATCAAAGAAAATAATTTTGAAGAATTTTTATTATCTTAAGTCAAGATGAAAAATTCTTGAATCAAGTGAAATTTATTTAAACCAAGAAAAATTTCTTAGTTTAAAAATTTTTCTACTCAAATCGAGGATGAAATTTTTCATAGCTATTTTTAATAATAATAGTAATAATCATAATAATAATTTTTACCCGGGATGACAATTACAAACTCCAGGAGTAATGCAGTCGCCATTGTGACAACCACCCTCGCAAATAGCATCACATCTTTCGCGAGTGCCGTTCAAAGTGTATCCGGGTCGACATTGACATACATGAGGCGCGATACAGTCTCCATTGACACATCCTCCGGGACACACGGGTCTGCAAACACCCTGAGGCGAATCTCGCTCCCACCCAAGTTTACACTCGCAGACTTCCGGTGAAAAGCAATAAGCATTCTCGCCACAAGGACGCCGGCAAATCGGCTTGCAAACACCTTCCACTGGGTACCAACCAGAGTCGCATGTGCATTGTCCAGATACGCATCTTCCCCCGAAGCACCCCGTTCGACAGTCAGTTGATGCGTACTCACACTGGTTTGTGATTGCGTTCCGCTGATAACCGTCGCAACAGTCCAAGATCATTACGTAGCCGTTGTCATAAGTGTTGTTCCATTGCTAGAATTATTTTCATTAAAAATAATTAATACCTCAAAGAATAATCAGCAATAATTTTTAAACACCCTAGTAATTTTTAATATTTTCTTGAGTTTAGTTTAGTTCAAGACGCTACCACCACGCGTGATGATACCAAAAACAATGGCGGACATTTGTGTCACCGTATTTAACGCTAAAATGCTTATTGCAAGTAAACTAATAGGAATTTTGCCGTGAATTTTTATAAGCACGTGTATTTTATGCATTTTAAAGAGATAAAAAATAATTGAGTAAAATGTTTGAATAGTTCCAGAGTTGTGTCGCAAAGATAACATGGAGTGAATGACTTTTAAAAGTTAACAGTGAAACTTTATCAATAAATAAATAAATAAATAAACTGATTATTGATAAAATTTTAGTAAAAGTAATTAATTTAATACTAACTGGTCTGTATCCATGATTGTGTATTGATCCTGTTTTGTTGTAAATAGCCAATGCTTCATGGTATCTGTAATTAATAAATTACTCACATTACATTGCAAAATCACAATTTTTATATCAATTTACTTTTTTCATTAATATTTCATTATTAACACGCTTTTATTTGCTTGACCTGCTTCTATCTATCTGTTTATCTATGCAATATAATTTTTAAATGTCATTTTAATCGACTTTAAGTCGTAATTAATTTTTAAATTTGCATGTGTATCGACTTACGACAAAGTAATTACTTAAGGAAATCCTTTCGCTCCAGTTGAGTCAAAACAATTGTAGTAGTCAATATACGATAAATTAAAAAAAGAAACCCATAAAAATTCCTAAAATTAAATAATAAATAGTATATGAGGCATTAATCGTTGAAATTTTGAAAATAAAAAAAAAAATAGTTAAATACAAAAATTAATTTTACTCTTTCAAATCAACTGCTAGTAACCTGTCCATGATTTGGCAACGCTGTACTTCGGTTGTTTACATTATCATTTGCACAATATAACCTTAACTACGTTTAAGTTTTTGCAGTCAGTGTAAATAAATAAATTAATTTGAATTTATTAAATGGTCTGAAGCTTCCGCGCTACGCAACGTTGCCAAATATTTTGACTCCATATATTAATGTAGGTTACTTGAGAATTTTTTGGGATTTTTAAATATTAATTTCTCAATAAATATCTCGGTAACTGATATATTTTATTACAAAAAAAGAAACCTGAATATTTCGAAAATCTAATTTTTAGTTGTTTTTTTACTTCATCTAATCCATGACTGACAGTATAATTCGAGAAAT